TCACTCATCGCCCTCCTCCATATACCTGTAAGGAGTGAAACTCTACAACTTCAGAGACCAATGTAGGACCAAAGTTCCATTATACTGGACTCTATCTCAATTTTACTACCTCAACCAGGACTTTTAATTTCATTTACTTTGTTCACTGGCGCAGTCCCATCCCTTTGTTTGTTTGCCTTCTTTATTTATTTCAAGGACACGTGAGGGAGTCCTTTTTTGGGATTGCTGCCTTTTGTATCTCTTTCTGATATATTAGCGCTGACTCTATTCTCTGTTTTTTGTTACCCCTGAAAATGTAGTTATTATCCTTTATTTTATGTGTTTATTATATATATTTTTTTAATTCTTTATTTTTGTCGTGCATGTGTAACAATTGTATGACAGTAATGCCACAACAGCATACTTAGACAATGTGAACATACAAGAGTGTAAACTGCTATGTAGCATTTAGAAGGTACGCACATATTTTTATATAGTGATAATAACAAAATCAAGCTGGGTACATGCTGGTTAGCCATAATGAATTCTTCTGTCATTTGGTAAAAGTAGCGTAAGGTTAGTAAATGTATTGAATGTTGTCGCTTTAGCCTCAGGCATATGTATAGTCGCGCTTAACTGTGCTCAAGTGCGGCATATATATTCAGAGCAATAACAGGCTGTCTAACCAGTCATATCCTACAGTAAATAGACAGCTGGGTCACGTGTCAATTATTATGTCCGTCTTTAGTTAAGTCGCATTAACGAGATAAATTAAGTGTGCTTGTTCAAATCCTGCATTTGTCAAATTAGTTGAACAACAATCAACCATGCTTTTATGATTCCAATAATTGACAGTTATCTAGAGACAGACTGGTTAGGTTAACAAGCTGTGTGCTCATGTTTACAGTGTGGTCCATAGGCAAGCATATTGATGGAGTATATCACCAGGCAGCAGATCTCATGCATTGGTGGTACAGAGTTCCTGAGGGAAAGATGGCTAAAGGTAAGACAGTTTCAGTTGTAACAAGTCCCTCTTCAGATGAATGAGAGATGTCCCTTGCAGCTGCTGATGTATTGTATCAGGGTGCCCGGTCTGTTGCCGGTTGCTGAGTGCTGGGCAAGTCCTCCGCTGTGCCCCATCCACATGTGAGGACCTCTCCGACAACAGGGGTGTGGATGATTGCTTTTTTGCTTCTCAGTAAGCCCCTCAGTGCAGCGGTGGTTGCGGGTCGCTGATGTCCCTGTGGGGCGATTTATTTCCCTGTCTGGAGGAGTGAGGGAGTACTGGGACCCCGCGGGGGGTCTCTGAGGGTCCTGTCTTAGTGAAGGTGGGTGGCTTGCTAGGATTCAAGGGTACTTGCAGGTGGATGGTTGAGGTAAGGATCTGTACCTGTGGTGTTTACAGTCCGCTCTTTGTACTGCCGCTGTGGATAAGCAGCCTGTGAGGGCTCTGGTCTCAACGCCATCCCACATGGCCTTCGCCATCTTGGTGTCATTGCCTTGAGCGTGGGTCTTGGCGGCCCTGCTGCTTCGCCTGTTGTACAGGTCGGTGGTTGGGTCCCGAGGGTGGAGACCGGGATTACCCCCCGTCCAGAGGGTCTGACTCTGAGCGCTGAACGGTATGCAGTGGGGCAGCGGCCTTACCCCCAGCTCGCCATCTGATTAGGCCTCGATAAAGTCAGGTAGGATTCCTCCTCCAGGGGACTGAAGCCTGTTGGGCCAGCCTCACCCTGGATCCAGGGCTCTCCGCCCGGTGAGGGCCACCGTTGCTGGCCGGTTTTGTGTCAAAAATCATATATATATAGCTTATTTTGGTCTTAGGCTGCAGGAGCTGGTCTTGCATGCAACCAGCCAGCTCGGTGGCCTGCCCTCGCCCCCGTGTGATTATTATATTTTAAGCGCAGCTTACCTTATATATGTTTAATCAGTTACTAGTAGGTAGTAAGTCTCCTACAGAGTAATAGTTCAAACTCACTCTTTGATCCAAGAGACACTCCACTGCCTAAATAGAAATAAACAACATTTTGGTGGAAATACCACAAATGAAAATATGCAAGCATTTAATATTTAATTATGCATTGTTTTTTATTATGGGTACTGTATATCTAAATACAACTTGCAAAAGTTGTTATGTTTGTTGCCCTCACCTTCTTCCCCATTCCAAATTTTCTGTGGCTGTCCAATCACTTTCCAATGCAGCTCAACGAGAAGTCTTTGCAAGGCAGTTGCTCTGATCAATTGCTGCCTCTTGAGTTTAGTTCCAGTGAACTAAACAAACCAGGAAGTAACATGACCTGTATGAAAGCTGGCAGGGTGTAACAAGGTTAATCGATAGTTAATTTCTATTGAAATCTGCACTTTTTGTAAAATGAAAAAAAGAGGACACACATAAAGCAAGCTAAAGTGCTCTAGGGATACTTAGTATCTTTTTAAGATGGACATGAAAATGATTGAAAATGTTGTTAGGAAAAAGGTGTAACAGTGTGATTTATAAAATTTTTGTCCTTTGTGTTTGATGTTGTTAATTTATGTTCATTGTATAATGTTTATGTTATTGTTTTTACCTTCAAGTATGTCACTGAAATAATAGTGTTATGTTCCATATTCAAAAATAAAAATTTAAAATGGTGAAGAGAAGCTGGACTTTGGCTGACATGCTACATTTTACTTCCATTATAGTCAATTGATAATAAAAGAAAAAACAATGTTCTAATGTTAAGTAACAATATGCTAAATATTTACTAATGAAAATATGTACACTGTAATGTTTACTTTTTTGCATGTGTTCTGCATACTTTCTCAATAAAAATCCCTCTAAATTATTATTCAAAGATTGGCTATTTCATATAGCCAATGTATCTAATGTAAAAACTCTAACATAATTATTATTTTATGTTTTAAAAGAAGATATGGACTTGTCTACCTTTTACAGCATGCAATGTGATTTTCTTGGAATGCACAAACAAAGAATGTACTTAATAATCAATACAAATGAATAATGCTAAAATGAGTGACAGACCTCAAAACCATTCACATAAAGAAGAAATTAAAGTAATTCATAAATCACTAAATTATGTGGAGAGACAGAAATCACTAAACACATATGTTTTTAGTTTGTAGTTTTCTCATTCTACTTTCTCATTACAAAAATAATCGAAGCAACTGATTTGTAAATATGATGCAAAACTGTCTAAGGTGACCCATTTTATGGTATATTGATTCTAGAAGGAACCAATTTACATTTTACTTTAACCCATATAATGAATAAATAGTGCACGATGTCATATTAAAATAACAGAAAAATACTTTTGTGTGTTTTAATTTAATATTTACAAACATTTAAACTCTTTTAAATAATGTTTTATTGAAAGGCTGTCGATGCTATATGGCAGTGCTCCTCAACCCTTTCCTCAAGGCACACCTAACAGTCCAGGATTGAAAGATCACCTGGGTGTCTAAGGTGTCTAAGGTGCTTAGAAAAAAAAAAACACCTTAGAGTGCCTTGATAAGAGGATTGAGGAGCTACAATATGACAAGTACATTTGACATGTTGGTATTGCATACCAAACATATATTTAATATACTGACCAGTGGATATTTTTTTACAACCAATAACCATAAGATTTGTACAGTTTCCTTAGAATTTTCCTGTTTCTGTAGATCAGAGCATTCATACATTACCAGGAAACATCTATGAGAGTTCCATGCGGATTGCCAAATTAATTAATATTAATAATACCACTTGACCAAAAAAACTTTCAACATCTTAAGCATTTATTGCATGCTCTCTATGACATTGTTAATAGGTTCAGGAACTGCATGGGGCCTGGATTGAAAACTATAATAAAAATCAGGTTTAAATTATTCTAACATAATTGAGTTTATCATCAAACAAAGCATTTAATATAACATATTTAAAATCTTAACATAATTGTTACATTATGGAGTCTGTCTTCAAAAGTCCAACATTTCATCTGTCAGCTGGAAAGGAGGTTTGAGGTCAATTCGAGGAAGCAACCAATTCTCACAAGTTGCAGATTACAGGAAAAAACAAACTACTTTATAATAGATTATATTAAACCTTCAAACACCTCTTACAAACTTTTTTGGCCGATTATCAAGCATTCTTTATAGAAAGCTTGAAAAAGAGCAGCCAAACAGCAGCGAAAGTGCTTTGGTTTATAAAAGCATACCAACAACCTTGAGTTGCTATTAGAAAAATATACGTGTGAAGAAACAAGTATGCAAGCAAGCTCAGGTCTCCAACTTAATTGTTTCTGTCTCTCCACATATGTGGTGGCCGTGTGACGCATGTTTTAAAATGATTAGCTAGAACAGTTCAACTAGTCCTATTCTCTTACTAGTATTGTGTATGTGGTTTAACCCCTTAAGGACACATGGCATGTGTGACATGTCATGATTCCCTTTTATTCCAGAAGTTTGGTCCTTAAGGGGTTAAATCTCATGTGTAAAATGACATTTGTAATAGTATGTTTCCTTTCATTAACTTAATTATGTATTTGACTATTTGACTGCTGGATGTTTTATGCCTGAATCAAAAAACACAATCCAAGGACATTATTTCTTATCCATTAAATTTTATAGTAATCTCAAAGTAGCCAGGAACATTGAATTCCTATGGCATCTGCCATATTGACTGGAAGATGTTGCAGACTAACTCATAACTCCAGGATCTTATGGTTATGGAATATTTAGATAAAGTAGGTAGATAAATTTAATCAGTTACAGGATAATGTCAAGATAGGCCCTCACTATCAATAGATATAGCAGAAATTCCCCAGCAAGCCTTCTGAATAGAGCTGATATAGCTCTATAAAGCGTGAGTGTTCCTTGGACCTACATCCACCCAATTTATATTTATCCACTGTATTGCACCATTATTTGTCTCTTTTTTTTTTAAAGATATAAGAATTAGAAGTTGGTCCTTCCTTCGCATGTATATTGTAATTTATTTTTAGAGCTGCTCACCTCTTTTATACATTACATTTAATCAGTTGTTAAACACATTGGATGGAAGTATTGAATGGATTAAATTTGTAAATGTCAATTGATATTATATAGATGGTATGCGTTTTGTATTTTAGACAGAAGAATGAGACTGCTAGATAGACAGATAAATGAGACTGTTAGATAGACAGACAAGTGAGACTGCTAGATAGACAGATGTCAGTTGTCTATATTTCTGTGATATGTACAATAAATACTTTCAATTATGCATTTGTTGATTTGAACTGCTGTTTCCATTTCTGTTATGACTTTTCTGGATGCCTCTTTAAACTGGCTTTATAGCATGTTCTCAGCCATACCACAATTTATGGAAAATAAGCACTGGGCATCATAAAAGCCATATTTAAATAGAAAGAGACTTTATGGGAAATGTTTATGACTACTGATAAAACCAAGTCCCCTTTGACAATCATAACATCGATTTATGCTTTAAATTCAAAGTCACCGAATAGTACTGATCAAGGTACAAGTTTCATGATGTAAACACTTCAGTAATTTGTCCTTTCAATTTGAAGAGTACAAGTAATAACTTATGACAGTTCATGGTTCTTTCTTACAACAAGGATTAACCCTACTTTTTCTGATGTTAATATTGTAACGTTCACTAGGGAACCCTAATACGCAGACAGAACAGAGTGGAGAGAATTGCAATACCGATCCTTACAATGGTCGGGTTATGCAAAAAGGATAGTTAAAACACGAGCCGAGGTCAAGAGAAACAGAGAGACGGAATAACGAGAGACAAAGCCAAATATCAGTAATCAGGAAATCCAAATAACAAGTGCAATGCTCAGTGGTAAACCAAAGACCACAACAGGGCACTGAGGCAAGGGAGAGGTTAGCTTATATACATACAGGGTGTGTCTGATTGGCTAATCTCCAATTAGTGTTAACCACAACACATGGGAGGAGTTTCTTCCCTCCCTTGGGGTCTCTGAGGTCATCACTGTGTGCCGGCTCAAATGACCAGGTGCAGCACACATATAAGGAAGCTGCTCTTCAGCGTGCAGTGTCAGACACACTGCCAGTCTGGAGACAGGGACCAGATGACGCCGCTCGCTGTGATGAGGTAAGCAAGGTCACCGCGAGTGGTGTGGGGGCAGGGGACCTGACAAATATTATTGATAACTAATTTTCCATAATCTGTAATCCTAGTTCCAAAATACACATCCTGTAAGAGAAATATAATGAAATACACTGTGTTAGTACAAGTATGGTTTTATGATGTATAACATCCTCTACTGTACATATATATTTTACCATTATTCCATTCATTAGTGAGATTATTTTCCTTTGCCTAATTGTGAATGCAAAATTAGTTGACAGTAGAGGATGTCACAATTTTGTTGGAGGTTACTCTGATGTTTGTTCCATTGGTATCTGGATTGCACATGTAGCTATTCAGGATGGACGGCATTCTAGAAGAAATTGCTACATGGCAATATTGTGAGCGACTGTCATCTTCTGAATACAAAATTCAGTGGGTTATGGACCTTTTTTCTACAAACTGGATACTGAAATATTCCCACTGGGAATGGTCATAGTTAGCCAACATGTGCCATTTGCACAATTATCATACTTATCCAAATTCTGTTTCTAAATTTTTATTTAGTTGTACATCAATGTTTTATGTTTGATGGTGTTATGCTGTGATGTTTTTAAATAAAACCTTTTCAATTTTAAGTTGCATACATTGGTTGTTTTAATACACATTTATTCCCTCACAGTGGCATAGTATACTGCATAAATTAACTGGTCATTTTTTTACTAATTTATTCATAGAGTCCCTGTTGCATTGTTGTAAAGGTTTAGAATGACCAGAACAAAAGTTTGACAGGATCAGATAACAAGATATAAAAGGAGCACATTTGAGTATAACTGAAAAAGTAGGATGGCCAAGAAGATGGATAATTATTGACAAAGAGTGGGCTCTTTTGTTGAAGCAGAAAGAAAATAGATGATCACTAATACTTCAGCCTTAAAAATGATAAGTTTCAGAAAGTATGATGTTATTCAGGAAGTGATGATCACTGATATCAGTTACTCAACAGAGCAACAGATCTGGGAGTGGAAAGGTAGAGTATTGTGTTTTCATCATTCATAAAGTAATTAAACTCAAGCATAGCCGAGTAAAAAAGTAGATTTAAAAAGTCAAGCTAACTCATGAATGAGTCTTATGGTAGCCCAACAGAAAATGGCAGTGGAAAGAAGTAGATGTAAAAAATAAAGACATTTCACTGATGTCTATTTAAAGGCTTATTAGAAGTACCAAGAAATTTAAATAATTACTACGCTTATGGTGCCTAGAGTACCATGGCCCCTGTCTCCTTGCTCAGAAAGACTTATAAAGGAAGTCATTTCTAACCACAACAGAGAACTTAGTCTGCCCTCTTGATCAATTAAATCAAATGATACATTGTATTTCTCTATATGCCATCGAGATTCGTTTTAACTTGTACTTGTAGCATGTACATGCACAATACATTTTTTGGATACAACTCCTTTTCTGTGCAGCTTTTTTTGTGAGCCCAGGGTACATCTGTGTTTATTCATAACTGGCATCTCAGGAGACTTTTGCACATACTTTATGCCTGTTATTGACAGAGCCGATCCTGGGCAGGTGCACAGTGTTTAGGCACTCTGTAGATGGAGGTGCATCGACAGGGAATGCAGCGCTAGGCTGCGCTCCTTGCGTTTGGCTCTGCCCCTCACATTAGGCTCTAACCCTTGTAGCATGCTCTGTCCCCTCATGCTTAGCATCGGGCGGCAGTCCTGGGAGGCAAAGATTATATCACCTTCTGGCATTAGAATTGCATTTGTAAGCTATTTAAGGACATATGGCACTGGTAAGCCGTTTAGGAAGAGATATGGCCCTGATTAGCCATTTTGGGACAACGATAGCACTGGTAAGCTATTTGGGCACAAATATGGCATTGATTATCTATTTAGGGACTAAGATTGCACTGGGAAGCTGTATTGGGACGGATATGGCACTGGCAAGCTGGGCACAAATATGGCACTGATAAGCTTGTCTTGCACCCAAGCGTCATTGACCCTAGGATCGACCCTGACTATTGGCTTATTCAGCAGTTCCACTCATCCTTTTGGAAGAGTGAATCTGAAACTGAGGACCAAACAACATATTCCATAAACTTTTGCAGGATAGGAGTTTGTAGGAGTAGAAAAAATAGAGAGACTCTTGATTGTTGGAGCTTCTTCAAGTTGAAAATGGTCTGCATGTTTTTGCTGTATTGTATTGGCTGCAGGAAATTTGAATATGAGCATTTAATTTTCTTTCCTTTTTAATACATTTAAAAAAAAAATATTTTTGACAATTTATTTTAATTGTTTATATATTGCTTTAAAAAGTGGGTAAAGTTTTGCATATAATATATTATTAAATTATAAAATACCATGTGAATGGGGGTGTGGGGCCTGACTGTTATGGCAGAAGGTCACATCTACAACAAGCTCCTCCATCTGCCATCTTTAAGACAGCTTCTGTGACCTTCCCAACTCTAACCGAGATCTCCGGAGAGACCTATACTCCCCGATCTTCATGTCGCACTGGGAATTGGTCTGTTGGAACAATGGGGGCTCATACACCCCCTCCTGAACACATGTGGCCTGTTTGGCACTGAATGGGAGAGACGGCCACTTTCCCGATTTGGCTGTGCAAGATTTTAACTACTGTGAAGCACATGCCCCATAACCCTCCCTTGGAAGTTATCCCGGTCCACCCCAGGAGAGCAACCAAGTCCTACAGGTGCCATTCAACACAATGGCAGTGTTCACAGCAACTCACCAAACAGGGCGGAGGCTACATGCTTTCCTATCTCAAGTGATGAAACGCTTAATCTCAACATCAAGCTGGACAGAATCTTTGAAGCTTTCTGGCAGAAGATGGAATGTAGGATGCACGGATATGCCAGGCAACAGACTAGTGATCACCCACAATGCCAGTTAGCACCACAGACATATCGACTGCTATCAGAGACCCCAGCACCAAAAAAGGAACAGACGAAGAAGCTCACCCAAACGCTCAGCACCTCAGCGACGGAAACCTCAGCGTATCATGGCTGGGTCTTCAGTAAACCAGGAGGTGTTTTCAGAAGCTCTGTTCCAGGTGAAAGCTGGACTCCACCAACCCTCAACACGGCAGATCTGTGTTATATCCATGGAGGGCATCGGATGATTTGGGACTTGTGGACTGAGCGGTATAGTGCTCCTGCTCACTCAGTATGCCATCTTATGCTCCTTCAAGTGACATGCTACACTGTAATATTAGGGGTTATAAACCACGCAGGTGCATCGCTATCGAGCTGTTATAAGTTATTTATCTTTTGTTATTTAACCCCTTAAGGACGGAGCCAAATGTACACGTTGTGAACGAAACAAAATGTAAACAAAACCTGGCATTTGCGCTACATGTCTGTCCAACCGTAATACACCTCTTTCATAGTAAATGCACCCACCCTTATTATATATCATTTTATTCAGGGGAAACAGGGCTTTCATTTAATATCAAATAGTTAGCTATGAAACATAATTTAATATGAAAAAAATGGGAGAAAATAAGATTTTTTTTATATATTTTTAGTTCTACATGACATTTTAACGGTCAGTGTCATAATACGGTTTGCTTTTACTGCAATAAAATACACATATTTGTATTCAGCAAAGTCTCACGTGTAAAACAGTACCCCCTATGTACAGGTTTTATGGCGTTTTGGGAAGTTACAGGGTCAAATATAGAACGTTACATTTGAAATTGAAATTCGCCAGATTGGTTATGTTGCCTTTGAGACTGTATAGTAGCCCGGGAATTAAATTTACACCCATAATGGTATACCATTTGCAATAGTAGACAACCCAAGGTATTGCAAATGGGGTATGTCCAGTCTTTTTTAGTAGCCATTTGGTCACAAACACTGGCCAAAGTTAGCGTTCGTATCTGTTTGTGTGAAAAATGCAAAAAAATGCCAATTTTGGCCAGTGTTTGTGACTAAGTGGCTACTAAAAAAGACTGGACATACCCTGTTTGCAATACCTTGGGTTGTCTACTATTGCAAATGGTATGCCATCATAGGGGTAATTTTCATTCTTGGGCTACCATAGGGTCTCAAAGGCAATGTAACCAATCTGGCGAATTTTAATGTGAAAAAAATGAAACACAAGCCTTATATTTGATGCTGTAACT